TACGAACGTAATTACTATTCTCCAGGAACCAGCCCGGACGCACGTTTTTAACTTCTCTCTTCTCTCTCTCTCTCTCTCTCTCTCTCTCTCGTTTGCTTAACGAGCCCCATTTGCAACAAGTGGTATATCGCGTATTACACGCAACACCGTGTTCGGTTGCGCGATAAGGAGAATCAATATTATCCTATCCTGATAACGACATTCGAATCGTGGCGGAAGAGGGAGAGGATTTTTCCGCTCCTCGAAACACGGAATAAGGCGAAGCGTGATACAGTTATCGAGACCAAAATGATTCTGAACGAGCGATCGTAAGCAGCTAGAGGAGGCGAATCGTGAATTCCATCCGCGTCGTGGACTGCACGTACCGCTCTTCTCCGCGCGTGTGAGAACGTTCCACGCGCGTAAACAATCGCGCGTCGCGATTCTGCACGCGCGCAAGATTTCCATTTTTTCTTTTTTTTTTTTTTTCTTGCCGCGTTTATTCCACGCGAATTGGAAAACGAACGCGACGCGTTCGAGATAAGCGCTCGTGTCGTGTCACCGTCCCCTTTCTTTTCGCGCCGCGGCGGCTCGAGAGGCGCCTCACCTGTGCAAAGAGACTCGATTCGACTCAGTCGTGCGGGCTCAGGTGAGAAATTCGCGTCGCGCCGCGCGGACTAAATCGCTGTTCTCTCTGCTCTGCCGCGAAAAATTCTTTGGCGAATCGGTGAAATCGGTCATTTATCGATCGGAACAATACAATCGCAACGACGAATCTTTTATTCAGCGACTCGATGTGCGGCTCGATCGGATTCATTACGTACGCACGTGCGATGGGGCATGTTTAATTCATGAAAGAAGAAAAAAGAAGAGGAATACGTCGAGCGTTATTTTATCGAGATCTCAGATATCGCGGAATGTAAATTTTCGTAAATAATATCGTACCACGAAATTCTATTTTTCCTCGTTCTTGATCGAATCTTTGGACGCGCGTGATTTCGCGTGAAAGTAAGAAAAATTGAATGGAACATTAACTGGAAAATATAGAATCGTACGATATTTTTGCGCGCGCAAAAAAAAAAAAAGAAAAGAATCGGCGACGCGTATCGGATGACGATCGAGAGGAAAACGTGTGTATCGTAGATTCGCAACGACCTTGGACGTCTCGGCTCAGCAGGCGTTCGTAGGAAAGTGACGTGTTGGCGCGAGCACACGCATAGGTGTCACCTCCACCATGGAGCAGTGCGACGAGATCGTGATCGGGATCGCGTATAGGTGAGAGGCCTCACTGTCGGCAGGGTGTCCCGTTAGGGGACCTAGAAGGCCCACGAGGGGCCACAGCCAATCGTATCAACCTGGTTCCGAGCACACCGGAACGTATCCTCGCCCGATGAGGATCGCCTGCCAACCGGTCGGTCGAGCCGATCGCTCAACCGGTATCCATCCGATTCGCGGTCTTTCGTTCGCCTCGAATATCGGGCACATCGAGCGCGCGGGAAATCGTTTCGTAGCGAGAATGTGAACGCCGATATTTCGCTGTGAGTATCCATCATTCCTTTCCTCCTTATCTTTTTTTATTATACGATTTTCGAGAACGAATCAAAATTTTCGTATTTGTACGCACGGCCGACGACGATCCGAATAGACACGTCCATTCCTCCTCAAACGGAATACGTAATCGTGGTCGTGAAGCTTTTATCTTCCTCTCTTGTTACCGGTTTCGGTTTCCTCCTCGGTGGTCTGCCGATTCCGAGCGATAATACAGCGTAAGTAAGTCTCGTCGAGTATTATTCGACCTTCCTCCATTCCCTCGTTCGTTCGAAAACGTTTGCCCTGTCACGATCACGATCGATCGTGATTCGCGCGAGAATAGACGGCGAAAGTTCCCGATATAACCGGTACGCCAATTAAAATCGAAACTGGCGAATTTCAGGGAACAAAGGGATAAGGATAAAAGATGTAGGAAGTTTGAGATCGGTTGGTGGTTTTTTTCAGGAAACACTGCCAGACCGTTTGTCGCGTTGAGGACACGCTCGAGGGGTGATCGAGCCATGGGCCGCACGGGATACACGTGCATCAGGCACGTTTTCTGCTCCCTCAACGTTCTCATCTGGGTACGTAACTTATTCTCCGCCTTATGTCATCGATTTAATACGCAAGCATTATCACGCAAGCGGAGTATTCAGCATCAGGAATAGTTATTTTTAAATCGTATTCGTGATTCACGTTTATCATATTAATAACGAATCTTATGTTTTCGAACATTCAATTTCTTTTCATAATACAAAAAGAACTCGAATACCATTTTCAACGTGATAACAGCGATCGACACCTTAGGTTTCATTCCTGCTTCGTTCAACAACTTTTAGTTACAGCTGGAATTTGTTTGTTTGCATTCGTTTATTCAGATTTTACTGGAACTATCGCGATCGGTGCACGCGATTTCATCATCGCGAGACCTTCTGCTTCTCTATCTCTCTCTCTCTCTCTCTCTCTCAAACGAAACGTCGACGGTGGCGAATCGAAAACACGGTTGGTCGAACGTGTCCGCAAGCGTGTCACGAAACACGATCGGCCAAGTTTCGTTTGCACCGATGCGAGAAGCGATGGAAAACGGTCCACGCACGCGCCCGAGCATTGTCATTCCCGCCGCATTCCAGGAGCCCTCTCCTCTCCCGCTCGCCGATACATCTTCCACCATTTCGAACCGCCTCCCCGCGCGCCGCTCTTAAATAGGACGTTGAACCGAGCTATCAACTTGCTTACGGTACCCGAAGAAGAAGAAGAAGAGGAAGAGGAAGAAGAAGGGAAGAAGATGCTCGCCTAAGAGACGCGGCTGTGGACTTTTCAACAGGTGCGCTCGCCGCTTCCCGTTTTTTTTTTTTTTTTTTTCTTTTGCCTCGCTATCGCCGCGCGTTTTCGATTTATGAGAGACAGTTTGACGTGTCAAGGACGGCGGTAAAAATAAAATATATCTTTTTTAAATACCGCGCGCGGACAGAAACGAGTCACGGACGAGATCGAGGATTATTTATTATTTATTTAATTGCAATGGCAATTATGTATGTGTAGACAGTTTTTCAAGCTTCTTGCGAAATTAATTACGTATTCTTAATTGATAAATAAATAAAGGGTTACACACGTTGAAACAGTTTTCTTTTCGCGCGGATCCAGATCGATCGAGGAATACAGAAACGTAGGTTCAATCATCGTTTTCGATTCCGCATGTATCGTGTGAGATTCGCGGAATACGAAGTTTTTTTCGCGAAGTTTATCAAATATGGAACAACTTTCCAAGAATTATGAAGTGCAATCTTTTTTTTTGAATTGTGATTTTCAACGATTCTAGGCAATCGTCAGTGCAGTTTGGTCAAGGAGCATCCATAATTTTCTTAATTTTCGATGTTTTCAAAAGAAAAAGCAAGTTTCAAAGATTTAGAAAAGTGCGACCAATTTTTAATTATAATTTTCCAGCGATCGTCAGTGCAAAATTTGAGATCAATGCAGCTTTCCAAGATTCTCGTTTTCGATCGTAATTTTCAAAACGTTTGTCGATCAGTTAAGGAGCACGATTTTCCATCGATCGGTCACGCGATTGAAAGGAGCAACCGTCCAAGATTCTTTAAAATAAAACGTCTATCTTCAATCGCGATTTTCAATCCGTATCGAAAACTGGGCTCGAGCACGCACTCGGTTCTCTAATCAACAGTCGAGCCGGCTGTTTCATCGACGAGATGAAACATAACGGTACCGGTTTGGCGGGGAACGTAAATCGAGCGGACCGTTGGTCCATTTATTCCCGCGATGCTGCTCGCCGATAAAGCTTGACCGGGATATTGGGTCGGTGGAGCACTCGATCCCGTTTCCATCCCAAGACTTAAATTACTTCGTTCCAACTAGTTTAACTGGACTGGTTAACGCTGGCCAACGAGCTTATGCTAATTTTTCATCGGTTCGATGTATTATCGCCTCGATATTCCGCCCGATTACCAGCCTTGTCTCGATCGAAAAACGATTTTTATATTTGGAACAATGGATCGTGTTGGTTCAGAGTGGCAAGACGCTGAAAAGTACAGGCCAATTCGATATTTCGTAGAAACGCGCGTAGAAATAAAGCGCACAATGTCCTCGGAACAATGCTCGGCGAGATATAACAAGTTGCGCGGATGACGAGCTGAAATTGAAGCAGTTGAACAAAGGAACGGTAGAAATCGCAAATGACGTCTCTCGGTGCACAACGAGAGTGCCTTTAATCTCGTCTCGGAGGAGGGCAAATTACTAAACCGCAACAATCTCCGAGGAAAAGGTCAATATACCTTCTAATCTAGCTCCCCTCGGCCACGATTTGCTCGAAAACACTGGCTCACCTGCGACGAGTCACCGTAATTTCGAAATCCCCTCCCCTTTGAAAACGATAATTACGAGGCTAAGGCCGACGAAGCGAGAGATAACGAAGGAAATAAAGATATCGCGTCGTCGCCTTCATTAATCGAGGTACAATACGAGAGTTTTCTCGACCCACTTTCAAATAACGCCGAATAATGTTCCAGATTCTCGAGACGAGAATCGAAAAGCCGGGAGTGGCTGGATTCGAATTTAAGCGAGTTAAAAGCGGGAAGAAGAAACAGGATCGTAGACCGAGCTGGAAGATCGAATAACCAGTGACGGGAAGTCGCACTCGACCTCGTGATTCGCGCGTTTCGCAAGATCGGTCGTAAGCGTGGAACGGGAAGCGGGTGTTATCGTATTGCATAATTGTGCGTCGAATAATAATCGTGGAGAGATCATGGTTGAATGCGATTCGATTCGAGAATATTTTACACGGCCCCTTTCTCTCTAAGTCCGTCAAAACTTTTTAATATAAAATTAATGTTCGTACCGTAATATCCACAAACGAATGAACTTCATATCGTAACGTAACAGGACGAATTCGGTGAAGTAAGGATTATTTAAAACCTTGTTGTTACTCCGTTAATTGTAGTTTTCAATTTTTTGTTTGTAATAAAAATATTATTACTTGAAACGTGTATATATATATCTATATCAAAAGATAGGGATAAAAATTTTGTTTAGCTAGACGTAGTGGCATAAAGGTTGGAAGCCGCTGCTCTAAGTGTCGTTTCACGAAAAGAAAGGAAGAAAGAGAAGAGAATGAAAATCGATCGAGGCGATGCATCGATCGGAAAAATTCGCGTTTCACGGTGGAGCGCATTCAGGCCAGGCCGTCCACACTCCACACTCGTGCCATCATTTTTTTTACAGTTATGCGCTTGCGGAATTTTGGGTGCAGGCCTCTGGCTCCGATTGGCTTACTCCGGATACACGACCTTGGTGCCGCACTACAGTTTCGCGTCAGCTGACTCGTTGCTGCTCGCCGCCGGATGCGTGACCTTCGTCATCGCCTTCTTCGGATGCTGCGGCGCGTGGTTTCAATCGAGATGCATGCTAATCACGGTTCGTATTTATTCATCTTACTCACGCCTATCGCGCCTTCAACCTATCCTCCTTCCCCGCAGTACTTCGGTTTGGTCATACTCATGTTCCTGGGCGAGTTCATGCTGGGCACCCTGGCCTTCATCTTCAGGGAACACCTGGCCAAGAGTTTGAAGGACGAGCTGCTGTTCGGCATCGAGAAGCACTACAATCTGACCAGGGAACCTGGAACACTTCCCGCTATATGGGACCACATACACACGGAGGTAGAAATTTATAATTTGATGAAAATCTTGCTTATTTCTTCTTCTTCTTCTTTTTTTTTTTCTCACTAAGAAAAGCGCGAAAATTTCAGTTCCACTGCTGCGGCGTGCGGGATTACACGGATTGGTTCCGAATCGACGCTTGGCCGACGGAGGACCGCGTGCCCGATTCGTGTTGCGTGCAGAGAGAACGGTATTGCGGTCGCCTCGACTCCGAGGGGCGTAACAAGGAGCTCTGGTACAAGGAAGGCTGCGCGACAGCTATTCAAATGTGGCTGGTGACCAGGCTGCACGTGGTCGGGACCGTTGGCCTGGTGGTTGCCTTCCTCCAGTTGTTCGGCCAGGTGGCCAGCATGATCCTCTTCTGCACCGTCAGGCACAAGAGGTCGTCCCACACGTACAAGAGTTACGACACCACCAACACCTAGAATTTCAGATGGATCTTAGACGAGACCAGTGTCTAAGATCCATCGAAGCTCTAATCGATTATCATATCGCACGTATATCGCACGTATATCCGCAATGATCGCGATCTTCTTCGCCGCCGATACGAAGGGGATCCGGATCCTTGTTGCCCCCTGTTGAATGCCCCCTCGGCCGACACCTCCATCCCTCTGTAAATCGTTTTCCTTCCCTCGCGAAAATCTATGCCCCCTCCCTATTTCTTCTATCGTAGAAATCGTAGGATCACGAGCGAATCATCGTTAAACTCATCGTCCACGAGCAAGACGGTGGAACGAGATGATTAATAAGCATGGCTTCTGAGAGACGAGCCATTATTTTAATGGGTCGTTAGACTCGATAAGCGATTCCGCCTTCATCCAGCTGACTAATTTGACGAGCTTTTAACAAAATAGGTCGGATGTAAGTAAGAATGATAAGCGACGTACTCGCCGAGTTTAGATTTCGATCGAATCTTTTAGAGATAGTAAGTAGCGGAGAGAATTTTATATTAGTAGGATGCGAACATTTATGTTACCCTTGCATGCGAACCTGTTTTATTTATTAGAGATAAGGTAACGTCGCACACGGATCGTACCAAAATTCGTTTCGCACGACCAGGCGCTACAAATTGTTTCGTCAATATCGTTTTTTGTTTTATTTCTTTCTTTTTTTTTTTTTTCGTTCCGTTTTGCCTGGCCGTGCGAGCACGAGCACAATTTTTATTCTCGTTATCGTTTTAAGATCGAATCGACCCCCACCCGTGGAAACACTACACGATTCTCGTGGATTTTTTCTAGCTTTAAATCCTCGGGTGTGTCGATCGTCTATCGTTTACGTTTTTATCGTGTAATAGTTGTCGATAAAGTAGCCTAGTATACGTTTGAAGAAGCGCGTGGTTTCGAGTGCAGTCTGCCACGCCACGATGTCGCCACGATCGAGCTACGAGATCGTATCGTACTCGTTGCACGTGTAACGTTCAGATAATAAATAATATATTTATGAGACGATTCTTTTCTCGCATCCATTCCTTCGACTCTTGACAATTTGATAAAAAAAACAACAAAAATTTATTCAAAATATAAAATTACACAAAATCACAGATTTTGGATAATTGGAACGTGATTATCCAAAATATTCTACGATATTTACAATGCTCGTCATTCCAATCCGATCAGCCGTGCACCGATATAATTCAGCATCCCTGAGATTCCCGAGCTGGCCTTTTTTGCAGTTTTACGCGGCATCTGGAAACGATTTTCAATTCGTTCAAAAAAAGAAAAAGAAAAATTCACATTTATCTCGATTATTCGATTATAAACTCACGTCAACGAGAGTATTGAGGAAATTGCTGAATTCTTGGTAGCCAGTGACCAGAGCTCGACCAATTCCGATAAACTTGTCTCCTGAATTTCCATATTTTTCTTCTTCCTTGATACTATCGACCAATGGCGTAGGCTTCAAAAAGGAATTCAATACATTGGCGACAGGCCTCTCGAAGAAACTCTGCGCTGTCTCGTTCTCCAATCTCGCGGTCTCACGAGCGCTTGAATGGGTGTTTGTCACTGGAGGATACTGGGTCGTTCCGAACTGTATCGGCTCGTAGTTCATGGACACCGACTTCTCCACTGTAACCGCGTTGTTTTGCGACTCGCTCGCCACTGCCTGTGTTTCATAAACGTATTGGTGTTAACATATATATGTATATACAATTTTATGTGCAATTCTCTCGATGTTTCTTAATCGGTGAATCTCGGTGAAGCAATATCCCACTATGCTAATATTCCACCGGATATCTAATGTAATATTTCGAATTAATTACGCGCGATGTTCAACGTCGAGAATTTTTTTGCTTCGTCACATTGATAATTACGTATAATTAAAGAAAAAACGATAGCCTTGCGCTGAATAATAAAAACGAGATTGCCGAGAGATGATATCGCTTATTTGCTCTGCATTTCTTGTCTTTCTGTCTTCTTTTTTCTTTTTCTTTTTCCTTTCAATCTTGAATTAGAGTCGAGGAAAAAAGATGACTAATGATCAGGAGAAATGACAGCTTTGCGTCTACAATTCCATCTACTTGCTCCCCTTTTTTTTTATACATTTTTTTCCCGCCAATGAAAATCAAAAATGGCAAGTGCGACATCGATTCTGACGTTTCTGGACGCCGATTCTTACACGATACGATTTTTACAAAAATCGAAAGCGCAATATTGACCTGAGCATCCATCATCTCATCAAATCAAATAGTAATATTAATCGAATCTTTCGACCTTCCCCTTCACCAGCGTCCTTGCTGCGTACACGCGCCAACGTGTCACGATCGAAATGGATCGGGGGAACGTTGATCTTTCGTCGTCGCGAAAATATAAATATAATGAATATCTACAAACACACATATATATATATATATATATTTATATACTCACTCGATTTTGCTCGAAATTGAACGGCGTACCAGTATCCCTCGTTTCTACGTTGCCTGTGTTCAACGTGTATCTAATCGGTTGCTCCGCCGGCAGGCAAACGGATAAATCGAAGGGGCAGAAGAGGAGAAGAATACAAAATGTCGAGATTTCTCGTTCCCCGAGAATTCTTCGCATCTTGATGATTCTGCAAAAAGGAAAATGAACTCGTCCGATCGCAATGAACTCGGCCTTTCTTAAATAAAAAGTCAGCGTGAATCCCGGAAGTGTGCTCGCGACACGTTTTCTTTTCTTTTTTTCCTTTTTCCTGTGTTTCTTAATCGGCGAAATCGGCGTGTTCACACGAAATCAAAACAACATCGGGACGATTGTTCCAGAAATTAATTAATTCGTGCAATCGGTGTTCCTCGACACGCAGCCACAGGTAGACTAAGAAGTTTCATTCCATTCCGATATTAAAGTTGGTCTATGTTATTACGAAACGCACTTTCTCTTTCGATTCATTCGACAATGTCGGCGCGCGCGAATGTCGTCTCCGATATCGTTTCGCGCGCTTTTATGGATCGTTTCATACCGATCGAGGGAAAACTGTTCGAAATTAAAGCTGCGAGAGACGTGAAAGATGAAGAGAGAGAAAAAGATATAAATATATTTTGAAATATAATTTTTTAATAGCAATTTATTAGGGTATAGATATATATGTATTCATGTATATGTATTTATAGAAAGACTTATCGATTATTTATCGCATTTTATCTGTCCCCCAAGAAGAGCGTCGAGTAATGATTTAACGATTTGAAGAACCAGACCTAGTACAGCTACGATGAGAGAAACTGGGACCTGAAACACGATTTTATTTTTTTTTGTAGAAAGTAAACACGATATAATAGCAATTAACGAGAGAATTATATCGAAGGAAATTTACCTGGAGAACATTCGCCAGAAGCGATAAGAGAGAGCCGACTATAGGTAAATTTAATAAGCTATTGACTAAAGGTTGAAGCTCTTGCGTGAGTTGTGACAGATTTCCAGTTCGTAGGGCATTAAATATTTCATCGAGCGGTATGTTTAAGATGGAGACAAGATCGGAAATAAGTCCTGATAAATTTAATGAACCATCCGGGCCAATTAGTTGTCCAAGATCCCCCAATAAACCAGTGAGGGATATCCCAAGTAGATCTAAATATTATTATACATTGAAATATATTTGGATTATTTAATTATTTACCGATAATAGAATAGAATTTTTAAGGTAATTCTAGGGTTTAAATCTAATTTCGAGGAGAAATAAAATTTTTATCGAAAACGTGTTCATAATTTTGCCCGATATCATTGCTCGATCGTTACGATCTGTTTTCCAAGGAATAAGTTTAATAAACTTACCGCCTACATTTTCCAAAACACATGTGAGAAGTGAAACTATGGGATTACTGGAACTCCCCTTCCCTATAATAATCACGTTAATAATTAAACAATTAATTTTAATAATTATCCCTTCCTTTACCTCTCTTATTTTAATATATCTTACTACCTTCTATATATCTTATTTTAATATATTTATCAACTTTTTTGTAAAGTTTTTTTGTAAAGTTACCTTTTGGCGCGACGGTAGACGATACAGATTGACCTGAAATCGTATTTGGAATCTGTAAACCTTTAATTTTAATTTTATTAATCTACATATTCTATTTATCAAAGTCTTCTCGATCGATCAAAGAATATAAATATATTGTCTTAAAAAAAAAGTTTTACCAAATGATCGAATATTTTCTATGAAACTTCTTACCTGAACTGACACCAGTCTGAAACATCATTAAAGTCAACGTTAATGTTTTTCTTTTCTTTTTTCTTTTTTTTTTTTTTCGATAGAGTTTCGAGCAACATTTAAAAAAGTGATATCATTAGAATTAGAATAGATTTTACGATCTTACCTGTGTTTTAGCCAATGCTCCGATCGATGTAATGAACAACAAAAATCCAATCACTTTTATCGCTTTCATGTTGACTCTTTCTGCTCCTCCTTTTATTATTTTCTTCGATAAAAAAAAGAAAAACAAAAATGTTTCTTCGCTCCTCGTTCTTTTATTTTGTAATTACTTTCGCTTTTGTCGTCGCCTTTTATTTATATAGCTATCAGTCGCATGATGTCAAACTATTTTACCATTGATAGTGACTCGTAATAAGCATTAACATCGATATCCAAAACTTTGTCCTTGGCTTTCGTTAAACGTCAAGCTATTATTATCCCCAGTTTTGTCAAACATTGCAATTTAATTTATCGCAATTTATCGGTTTTTTTTTCTTTTTTACATAATAGAAACGTAAATTTGTACAATAGGATACGTTGAATATATAATGTAACGTTGAATCAGATAAGAAATATATTTAATTGGATGTACACATATTTATTTTCTACACTGTATAAGAAATAATAACAATCAACCAGTCTTTTTATTAATAAAATATATAAAATTTAGAATCATATAATAGAATAATAAAATATATAAAATTTAGAAAAATCACTTCAAAATGATAAATTTTAAATGCCGAGAATCGAAAAAATCGGAAGGCTAAGACTTAATTATATTTATATGATATATTTTATTAAGAAACTTTCGAGGAATTATCATTTACTATCCTCTTAAAATAATTATATTTCGTTATCGTTAATTGTAAATATAAAATACGAGAAACGAACATTTACACGAAAGTTGAATTAACCAGAACTATTGTTTAAGAACCGGTTTACAGCGTTTAGAGTTGATATTGGTATCTGCAAGAATTAAAAGAATTAAAGATAAAAATTAAAAGCAGTAGCAAAAAAATTAGAAAATTTAAACTCAAACTGTTTTCGCTTTTCTAAAACATTTTTTCCAAGACAAAATAGAGGAGACGTGGTAGACTACTTCTCTACCTGAAAAATATCATCGAAGAAGCCGTTGTTGTTCTCACTCGGTATCGTCATCGTTCTTCCGTCCGAGGAATCAGGTTTGTCCGAGTAATAAATCGTCTGACGCTTATGAATATTCGCGTTGTTTTGATCTTCTCCCGCATTCTCCTCCATTATCATCTTCGTTTTAGATCCCCTCAGCCTTCTCCTCTGAAACAATCTGCCTCGACGAGGAAGAGCATCTGGAAATCGCGTGAAAAATAAGAAAACGAGTGTCGCAACGATTCGTCGAAACGATTATCGATCGAATTCATACCATCTTGCACGATTTCGCTCGCCTCGTTGGATAAAACAGGGGCTAATTGGGCGAGAGGCGCCGATTCGATGGGCAATACTTGGCGTATCTGATATAATTGTATTCACGCATTAGTTAAACCCACTAGTATAAACCCACTAACTTATGATTTACCTCTTTATTCGACGAAGAGGAATCACCTTCTTGTTTCCCGTCCTCCGTAGATATTTCATTCTTCTACAAGCAGCAAACGAGTTATTCCATATTTTTTTTTTTTTTTTAATATAAAACGACACAAATTCAGGATAATCGGACAAACCTTTTTCTCCTTCTTCGAATCCTTTCCCGAACGGGAGATTATTTGAATATGCGACGTGCCTCTGCTCGCCCCTTTCCCATTACTTCCTTCTCCATCTTTTCCATCGCTCGCCCCTTTCCCATTATTCCTTTTCCATCGCTCGGCCCATCGCTCGGTCGAGCACCGAATAAATCTCTAGGGATTTCCCCAGCCGTGAATCCAAGTCCACGGGTTCCGGTCGTGGCGCCGGCGACCAGGCCTCCCCTAACGGGCGCCGATCTTCCACTTCCGTCCAGCGCGCCGCCTAATCCGGCCGCGGCTTCGTGTCTCCCGTTTCCAAGCCCGGCTCTCGCATAAAGCCCTCCCCCTGCTCGTCGAATATACGTGTTTTACACGAGTGTTTCCTACTTCTTTAAAAAGTATAACAAGGTGATACTGGCCAGCATTCGCATTGTCGCCATTGAGTGTCCCGCCCAAACCAGCGGCCGCATGCCCGCCCCATGGCGTCCCTACGCTCGCGTGGAGACCACCGCCCGTGTTCGACCCGGTCAGAAGACCGCCTAGGCCGGCTGCAGCGTGGTAGCCCGCGAAGTTGAATCGGATCCCACCGTTGGTGAACTGAATCAGCGGAAGCTGCGGAAATTAATGTTATTGAAAGGTCTGGTCGCGATATTTTACTCGAATCGGTTAGGAATTTTCGTCGAGGAATCATTCGAAAGATCGGGAAGATTTTTGAAATGTTAGATAATTTCAATTATACAGGTGAATGTCGTTTATATTGTCAGAAATATAGGTGTTTGGATAATCAAGGAGGAATTATAATTGTATGTTGGATGGGCAAGAAGAACTCGTTTTGGGCAAAATATTTAATTAGATTCTCTAGTTCTTTTTTTTTTTATAAATTCTTTTATATAAATATAAATATAATTAAATTTCATTGTTGCATCTTCGAAATTTACAAAATTTTCGATATCAATGAACTGTTGCTTTTCGAAAAATATATAGAGATTGACGATTTTCCATCTTCCGGCTCTTCTTGCAATCAACGGTACAATTTACGATTACACAATGCTTTATTAGTGTTTATTATTGTATACACGTGTTAATGTTAATGTTATTGAAACGACATTGCTTACTTACTTATATATAACGACTGATAATGGTGCAAAAATTATAGTACAAAAACTATAGAGATATATAATGTAACGTGCAATTGAAATTGAAAATTTACAAATTGTTTTTTTTTTTTTATGCATAATTATTCATCTGTTTTAGTTTTCGTTTTCACGAAATTGAAATTGCTTTTCGATAAGGAATTATCATTACAACGATTTCATTAAACTTATATATACTCGAGGAAACATTAATCGTGAACATTAACGAATAATTGGATAAATAGCTTGAAAGTCATCGTAGTAATCATTCTAATGTAACAGCACTTCCGCACTCCTTTCTCGTAGTTGCGTCTGTCCATTACCTAACACCCGTTCCGTCATCACTTTTCTCCATTTTCATTATTCTTCCCATACCTATGTGTATCATTACATTTTCTTTTCGATCCCATTCTTTTTTCTTTCTTTTTTTTTTTCTTTTTTTCCTTTTCACATCACCGTTCCGATAGAAAAGGAAAGCTTAGATGTTACTTTAATTAGCGTCACGTCACTCTCGACGAAGTTAGAAAGTAAAGAGACTCGTTTGTACAAAACAAATGATTTGCAATTTCGAAAAGGATCGATTTCACAGACACCGTGGATTCGTCGCAAATTTGATAAATCGTCGTAATGAAAACGCGATGAAAACTTTAAGCATCCGATCGTCGAAAATACCGAACTTCACCGATCATCGACGAGTGAAAACAAAAATGGATCGTAATTGTAATTGCGTTCGAAAATGAAAATACTCACCCTCTCGTTACTCTCTGCAGGCATCCCGTGTACAAACGCGAGTAAACCAAACACGAACGCAAGATCAATCTTGTTGCACAGCATCTCTGTTTCTGACTGAGCCGAGCAACCGGCAGGCTAACGCATTTACCACCGATTTCTCAAAAAGACCTCGAAGACATCTCACCTTCTCTTCGGGAAGGGATAAACTGTGACGTAGCCGACGAACGAGCCAGTCTCGAGGCAGTCTCATCGGCTGCGCGACGAAAACCGATCGTAGATTTGTTCGATTCGTTCGTCGAATGAACTATGATTGCGGGGGTCAAGGACGACACGACCGATCGGGAACAATGGGCATTCATTTCCTTCTTCGGGCTTTGCAAGCGGAACAAAGTGTCGACGTACCGTTTCGCATTCTACGTACACGTTCAGGTGTATGAAATATATTTTTAAAGCAAAAGTCGCATTTGTCATCTTAAAATGATGCATGATTTTCGTTTTATCCTCTGTTTAATCGGAAATTTCGGGAGAAAGATTATTAAGACGATGACAATCCGAATTGAAATATACTTAGAAATATATTACGTATCGGAAAAATACAATCTTATTCGCGGCAAAAAAGGTAATATTAATGGAGTGATTAATAAATGTGTTTTAAATGGGCACGAATGACGCCAAAGTTATAACGAATTAAAAAAAAAGAAAAAATGAGAAGCAATGTTAGATAACTTCCTGTATCAAAGTTGAATCAAACGTTGGAATGTTTATTCGTTTCTTCGATGTATAAACTTTGAAAGAAAGAAAATTTAAATTATTTGTACACGAATAATTCTTTTTTTATTCGGTTAAATTGATAAATTACTTTTTCCCGTTCAAACATTCAAATCATAAATATATATATATATATATTTTTTAACGAACAATTTTGCGCATATCATTATCGTATATCCTATATTTTCAGAATTACAATTATCCGAAAATAATACTTTTAACCAACATGTTCCGCAAATATAATATCGCGTTTAAAAACGTTTAAAATCGGAAAATGCATTTTATTTATTTATTTCTTTTTTTTTTTTTCAGACGATTACTAATCCATATGAATCATTTAACCTTGTGAACGCGATACGTTTCAAATAAGTGCAAAGAAATCACAATATCATGGAAACAATTTAATATTCCATCGCGAATTAATTACCATTTATCATAGATTTATCCATGATGTTTTGCATTTATCGTAAAAAACGTAATTGTTCGCAGAGAAACGGATCCCATATTCTTTAAAATTATTTTTCGCTCATCTAATATGCGCCCATCTTCCTCCTCGTCAGGGATCCAATGGAATATCAATCGTGCGCAGAGAGAAAAAGAAAAAGAAAAAGAAAAAAAAAAAGAAAAAAAAAGAAAAAGAAGGGGAAGAAGAATTTTATTCGAATATCCAATGCATAATATATAAGTTGGTCGCTTCTCGTTATTCATGAGTGATGCTACATTCAAAATGTTTTCCGTATCGCGGCAACGACTCGGCGCGCATTTTAACGTTCACAGCAGGCGCAATTTATTCGCCGTGACTCCGAGATTCGTGGGTCGAACAAGAGATCGAGAAAATTCGAAGATCGAGAATGACAGAATGAATTTTCCTGCTTTCTGCAACTTACTTTCTCATTCGTTCTGTCATTTCGTCCATTTGCATAAACACTCGCGACGTGACTCACGTACTTATCGGCTGCCGATTACCGCGAAAATTAGCCAATAGAAACGAGTGATACATTGCTCCCCTCAAACCTAATGATCACGTACGTTCAAATTTTCGCGAAAAAAAGAATTCTATTTACTCGTTACTTTAAAATTAATATTACGATCTGAACGATATCCTGTTCGACTTGGGTGCAATTTTGTTCTGAAGTGGGGGATCTTGTTCGTGACGCGATCTATCCCCTTTGCTGTTTGGAGCTATCTTGTTCTGTATTTGTTCCGTGTCGTAAGGATGATCGCTTGGTACTTCGTCCTTAACGGCGATCTTATTCTGCGCGCTGGTTGGCCGAGAACCGGAAAACGTACCGGCCGTGATTCCGTGCCAGGAATAATTCGTATCTTCTTCCACGTCTTCGTGAACTTCGTAACCCCCTTGACCTCCGTGAATTTCTACAAAATTATCTCACGTGGAAGAACTATATTTTTTTTTTGAATATTTAATTTCGAATTAGAGGCGAATTATTATACCTTGACCACCTTTGTAACCGTCAAACGTCCCTTGAATACTTCCTAGGACGCCGTGATTGTTAAACAACAGAGACAACGTGTTCAAGCCGAAAGGATCTTTGTTGTTATTATTATTATTTTTGATGCTCTTCTTCACGAGTTGTTGTTTCACGCGTTGTTGTTGCAATTGCTCTCTTTGAAATCTCTGCCGTTCCCTTTGGGCCGATATTCTCTCTCTTCTCTCCTGTCTTATTCGTTGCGCCTCGTCTGTATTCCGTCGTCTTTGCTCGGACGTCGCCTTAACGAGGGTTCCAACAGCTTCCAAAGTCGAAACGGGAATCTACGAAAGACTCGTGTTTAGGATAATATAAAAATCGATAGGATGGATTAAGCAAGCGCGATACCTTGAACACGTTGTCGATCGTCTGAGAATTATCCGGATTGAACGATTGTGCCGCGGTCGCAGTTTGCTTGATCGCCGTAATCGGTATCTGGAGGTAATTAAATTTTGTTGAAAATTAAACGGGGAGAAAAGAGATTGAGCATTTTTACAACTCACGTTAAGAATCTTGTCTATCACTCGATCATCTTTGTTTGAAAAATCTTGTCGCCTTATTCGATGGAGGATCGGCTGAAATAATGAAAGTTCAAGATAAGTATATACGTGGGTGGACAAATGGCCAAAATATATTATTAGAGTATAAAATTTATCCACATTAGGAAAAATGCCATTGTGAAGTTGTATAAATACGGGCGGGGAATAATTTTCTCGACGGCTTTCTCTTTTCTACATATAAAGAACGTCGAATGATATCCCGCTTGACAACCGATAATCGAAATGTCAGCGTGCGTTGTTTTAAGCAAACATGTGTTTATTGTTATTTTTGTTACGCTTTTATCACGTTTCTATTTTCACGTAGTAAAAAAATTAAAAATACATCACGTTAGCGTTTCTCTCTCTCTCTCTCTCTCTCTCTTTTTTTTTGTTTTCAAAATATCAATATCGATTCTGAATTTAAATTTTTCAATTTTCTAATCCACAAAAATAACTTACCGCTTGCGAGGCAACCGCGTAAACGATGACGTTAATAACAAGGAAACCGATCGCAAACATTGCCATAAATTTTGACTCCAGTCCACCGAGCTTCTTGATCCGCGAACTACGAGACGTGTCGACGATCCTCTGGTCTATAAGGATGATTTCAGGATCCCTCGAGTGCGGATCGACCAATCACCATAGGATCCAACACATATTGATCCTCTCTATTCCACATAATCTTGATTTTCAGCCCCGCCTTTTCTCTCTTCCCCCAGAGATCGTGTTATTTTTGCATACGCGAACATCGTAAATAGAATTATTATTGGGTCATCGTATAATTAACACGATCTTTAGAAATCTAGTTTCGATAAAATATTAATAATATTCAAGAAGCCTACTTTCAATAGACTTGAATAACGAGGATCATATTTTGAAACGATCTCCCCCCCCTCTCCTTTTTCAAAAAAAATTTACATTTGTAAAATTTATACTCAACGATTAACCAATAACTTAATTTACGACATCCATTTTATTTAACGATCCAATTTTTCTTACGTATTTTACAACGAATAAATTTTAATAATCGAAACTATAAATTACTCGTAACGACTTATCGAATATGCAAAAATTAACGCACGTTATACTTACTATGATTATATATATATATATATCTACAACCCTCGTTTACAGGTGTAAGAAGCCAGACTTTCGCGATTGGCACAGAAGAGCGCACTGATCGCTCACACAGTTTCTGACTCGTCTCCGTGATCCACATATATGAGCGAATCGAGTGATCCCACGCCTCGTATGGACCAATCGAAACCCGCCAATCGTGCTTTCTATTCACCGCAACCGTTTTCTCGAATTCGCGCCTTATCCCTAACAGGCCTTCTTCCTCTTTCACCGATTATCCGAGCGCGTGAGGTCTGGCGTTACATAAATATCGGACGATGATCTTTACTAGGTGATGTAAGATCTTTTGTGAGCGTTTTTGAAACGTTTCTCGATCGTGCTCGCCTCTTTTACTTTTACAATAAACTTTTCGAGTCATTCTCGAGTCGTTTTTATGACAATTTGAAATTTACTTTCAACTTTGATTTAATTCGGATGGTAAAAAAAAAAAAATAATAATTACACGTTCTTGTGGATTGGAAAACCACAGTTTTATAAATAATAATAATTTTATAAAATAAAAATTTCAGTCTTTGCTAACTACGTGCTACGAGAATGGATACTAAGGATCGTTGTAGAAAAAGAATATTCTCTAAATGTCCTTGTACGCCTCTGGATTATCGCGAAGATAAAGGCCCACCTGGTTTCCTAGATTCTTCTGAAACTCTTTCACGTTCGTTTCCGATTGCTGGAAAGAGGATATACAAATGTTAATATTTTATTAATTAATTTACAATAGAAATGGATCGAAGATCCAATGGAAAATAATCAGAAATTTAAAATAATTTAAATGAGAGAAATTGTTCTTTGAGCCTCTGATAAACATAGGAGATATAATATTAGATCGTACTACATGAAATTGTCATTTTTGTTGGTCGGAAAAACAATGTATTTTCGAAACTATAATCTTTGTTCAATCAAAATATTTTTTAAAAACAACTGTAAATGGCGAAACAAGTGATAAACAAGTTGGTGAAATATCTGGTGAGTGAATGGATTAAGATTTCATATTTCGATTCAGCTAATTTTTGTTTAGAATAATTTGTATGCAGTCGAGCGTGTCATGCATAATTTTTTGACAATAGAATGTTGTATTATGATGTCTCCTTGCTTTAGAAAAGAATAATAAATTATTGTCTTTACAGAACCACAATCGTATAGTATCTATTTTTTGTCACAAATTATAATTCAAAAATCATTTTGAGCTATTCAGCACAAACGCCGCAACATTTAATTCTCCTTTTGTAATTTTTCACTTTATCCATTGCATCCAAATATCATTGAAAATACGTCTAACTTTGCTTCCACTTTGACTTTCAATTTATCTTTGTTTAATATGAATCTATCTTGAGATCTCATTTTCAAGAGAAGTCAAGATTTTCATTTTCAGATCTGAAATCATCATCAAACAATTCTCTCGTTGAAGGTAGAATTTTCTTCGAAAGCTAACCTAATATTTCGATATGCTTCAGGCTGCACTGTGGTCAATTTTCAACTCGTTATAGGAATAATATTCTCAATCCGTACCCTTTTCAAAAAACAGTTAAACCGATACAAAAAAGAATTTATCACACGAAACAAATATAGAAGATTAACATATATAAAATATGCTAAGCAAAATATAGGTTAAGTTTCCAAGTCGCAGTTGATTGTCATTTATTCTAAAATTGACAACTTCATGTGATACAATCTAACACGTTAAAGAAGAGATTCTACGAAATATTCAATTTTTAACAATTTGGATAGCAATTTAATCCCATTCGCGTCTCATAAATTCGATTGAACACTCATCCATCGAGCACGAGGAGTCAAACGAACTAATAAATCTCAAAAAAAAAGAAAAAAGCAAACGATGTGCAAGCATTCAGAAGGAAATTTTCACCAAGAAGCGAGGAATAAATTGAAAAAATTGTCTTACATTCAGAGCATCGTTCCACTCAATGTTGAAAAGTCTAACGAGGCCCAGCACGTTTCGCCTGATTAATTTCTGCAAACCGTCTCTGGTCAAGGTGGGTTGCGTGGTGGTCGTAGGCGCATCTGTTGCGTTCAGATTGGTCGTTTCATTGCTCTTCGATTGTGAAGCCATCAAAGACGCCTTCGTCATCGTACTCTGAGTGGCCGAATCTGGCGCTATACTGTTGTTGATAATGTCACTGATCTGCTTGATCGCCGATTTCGTGTCGTTGATCATCTGAAAAGGAATGGAATTTATTTTATTACCAGTCTCAAACGAAAGATGAATCACGCGTAAACTTCACCTCAAACGTGAGTTTCGCCAGAGTCCAAAAGAATCCTGGCTTCTGCTTCTTCACCTCTCTGACGACTCTCTTCGACTCTTCAGGGATGATATTATCCTCGATTCCGTTCACATCAAGATCCTTTGCATCTTCGGATAAAAATTTATCGAGGATTTTCATTTTTTCTATAATTTCTCTCTCGATCGAGCTACTCCCTTTATCCTCCTCTTTGAGATTTATCTCATCTTCCTTCGTTGAACGATCATAATTCAACCCATAATCTCGATACTCCGTCGGTATAGCGGGTATCGGCAGAAATATCGCTTCCGATATTCTTTCAGGATAACTCGACGAATCCAAACCGCCAACAACCTTCTTCTCTTCGTTCGTCACGCGTGGCAAACGCTCGTCGATGCTCGAGGAATCGTATCCTTCGCGAACGTTATACACGCTCGGATGCGATATAAAAGGAAGAGACGAGTCATAGCTCACCGAATAAGACCTCTGAACGTTATCGTTGCGAAGAGGATCGACGAAGCGCAGTAGCGACAAGCCGACGACCAGTAACTCGATCGAGGATGCCCGCATCTGCAATCAAAGTAATCGATCATAGAATCCATCGTGGACACGAATAAAATTTACGTACTTTCGAGACGCTTCCAGCAACGTTTCCAGCTACGGGCTGGATTCGGCATGCAGTTCGACGCGAAGCCACCGAAGCGGAATTCGTGAAAAGGAGTCGGAGGAAATCGTGAAATGACTACTCGACACGCGAAACGCTCCAACTTATCCGCGTGATTCCCATCACGTAAGCGATTGTTCGCCAGGAAAATGCGAGAAAAATGCGACTAACGAGGCGATTCGTATTCCCACCGTATCTAGAAAGATTTAAGCTTCTAAATCTTCTATCTGCCGATTGGCCAACCTGCTCGAACTTACGGGAACTTCCTGGAAAGTCCTGCACGGAAGCATTTATAAGCTCGAGCGTTCTCCGCGCATTTCTGTCGAAGGAAGCCAGGCAGAGAGTCACTTTGCTTTTCTCGAGGGTATTGGCGGGAAATTTGTGCGAGCACCGATTGTTCGAGCACTTTCACTTCTTCCACTTTTCGACACACTGGACGGGAGGAGGAGGAGGAGGAGGATATTATAGATAAACCAGATCGAAGGAAAGAGTTTTACCCGGTTCGATCGAGACTGGTCGAGCAGGTGGAAACTTGGAGAAAGATCGGTCGCGACTGTCCACGCGACCGGCCATCGAAATTTTGAACCATTGGTGGTTTAGACCCGTGCTCCATTTTCACGTTTCACGTGTTACGACCTCGTGCGTGTAGGGAATTGGCTAGCAACCATGTTCGAATCGGTTTCGAAATGGACGATCGGCCCACGAATTTCGGATCTGTCGCAATGGGTCGTTTTTGGTGTTCGTCACGGGCTATTGGCAAAGTCGTTTTTTTTAAGAAGGAAAGTAATTATCCAGTAGCCTTTGTTTTGTAGCAGAGCTCCAAAGACGTTGCATAGATATTTTTGTCGCGGATTTTTCGAAAACCGAGCGATTAGTAACTAACTCTGGATCGAGACTGCGCGTTTTATTTATTAGATTCCATTTATAATACGTGATTGGAAAGAATTTTGAAATTGAATTGTGAAATTAAGTGAAATCGTCGATCGAGTGAAATTATATCGATATCCTTGGTAATTACCGTCGAGATCGTTTGTAAAACGTCGAATATACCATTTCTGTTGTTGGATCACGTAGGTGAATTGCGAACGATCTTTAAAACGTTGTAATTCCGTTTCACCGGAATAACTTTTACTTTAACGACAGCAGGAAAATGATATACACATTTATATGTAAACGATTATATGGCCACTAATCAAAATTTCTAAATATTCCGCAAACGTTTTCTTCTCTTGCCGCGATCAAACTGGTAACTGTACCGTACGAGACTTTCTATAAAAGTTGCACGAGTTATCGCCGATTATGCGAGCATGTGAAAGGAGAACCGGTGAACCGATTCTTGCATTCCGCTCGACGGCCAATTTCGATCTATTCTTCCTTCTCTCGTCTTTCTTCTCTTACGTGGGATGAGAGGAAACACTTTAACGCGGTTTTTCGACGAAACCTCGATTCGACAAGAACCGCGTGGCTGCTCGAGGATCAAAGCTGACACTCGTAGTCGGGTGCAACGTCAGGACCACGTGGTGGACCGTGTTTCACTTTCACTCGGCCGCGACGGCCACGTGCTTCCTCGAAACTCTCGTTTCGATTTTATTTCTCCTGATCCATGATTCATTCTTCGCTCGATCGTGGAAATTAACGAATTATCCGATGGCAATGAATTTCCTTGTCGCTTCAATGTTCATTCCACGAATTTTGCTCGTCATAATTTGTCATAATTCCCAGGAAGAAGAGAAGAAGAGAAGGCGAGATAAGAGCAACTGTACGATTAACTGTTCTTACTTTACCTTCGCGGTCTGATTGGCCCGTTTTCGTTTCGCAATAAAGAATTACAAAATGCGAGGAGACGAGAGCTTTCAAAATTTTCTCCTTCTTTGTCCATCGTTACCGATAGAATCGGAAAAGCAAAAGACTTTGTTGCGACACGCAATTGAGTCATCCGAATTTTATATATGGGCGTTTTCTTTCAAATCTCTCTCGTACGTATCTGTACGTGTGTATTTGTTACGCAACGCGCGGTTATCCACCTGTTGCGGATCTCAGTGACTCTCATCGCGGAATTAGGAGAAAATTTTAGGAGAGAGATTAGTTCTATGCTTTCTCGTAATAAATACCGTATTGAAACAAAGAAGTTCTCGGTAATAGTTTCTCCGAGCGTCGTAATTTCCAAATTTCGAGGGTGGAAGAAAATTTTGAAAAAGGGAAAAGAACAAACACCAAATCGCCGCCAGATTTATTTTTTTCGATCGTGATCCAATTCGTTGAATTGAATTAAACGTATCGTTTCGCGATTTTGGAAGCCTTCTCATCATATTTTAACTCGCATCTTTCTAGTGCATCGATCCTTGGAGAGAACGAGGTCATCAAAATCCCGATATACGCGCGTATCTGTGACTTTCATCGTCGATTCCACGCATTAACGAGCCACATTTCCCCCTCGAATCGTTTGTTTCTACTCACTCTTCTATTTGCCTCGGACAAATACACGTATTGCGCAATTCCTCGAGTTCGTCCCCTTATGCAACTCCTTGTTGCCCCGTCGCGTGCTATCTGGAAACCTGGCAGAGGAAACAATCGATATAATTTTCCAATTCGCGATTCGTGGAGCGGGTTATTCGGTTCAAATAAACGACACGCATTTTCGATCACGAAGTCGAATATCTCTTGCGGCAGCGTGTAAAAAAAAAAAAGGATAAATTATTCCGTCGATCAAAAATGCATATTTTTTTCTTCCTTTTCTTTTCTTTTCAGTAAAATTATCTCGAGCGAACGTCGATTCATACACGTTATTTACGTAATTGTTGGATGATTTGCTTGGGAGAAAAATTCGAGACAACGAATCTCCCTCTCGTGTTTCGATAATAGTATTGTATAATAAAACGTGGTCAGATTTATTCTTACGCAATCGTTCACGAAACAGTGAACGACGTTGGGTCCTTTGACCTACTAGTTTAGAAATTTGGTCACTATAACGAAGAGAGAGAGAGAGAGAGAGAGAGAGAGAGAGAGAGAGAAGAAGTAG